ATATTTGTGGTTCAAATAATATGAGCTGGTGGTGAATAACCTTTCCGCACCTTCGATTAGCTCATGGATCAAATTCAAAAGCTTTTAAAAAACTTTTATTATATGAATTTACATATTCCTCTTCTGATATCGTGTATGAGTAAGTTTTCGTTGGAATGTTAAGCCCTTATGAATGGCAAGGATAAAAGAGAGAGGTTTGGATAAACTTTAAAACCAAAGATAAACTCAAAACAAATCACAAGAATAAAGTGAGAAATATTACAAATGCAGAGTATAAGAAAGGAACACGATATATATTTTATAGTGGTTCAGTCAACCTTGACCTACTCATCTTGGAGGCACCCTCAAGTTTGACTAAAAAAGTGTCTCTTAGGCCCCACAGCTGCGGGAGCCCTTAAAATTACTCTCACCTTCCCCAGTGAGGCGGAGTCGGGTCCTTTAACACCAAAGTGAATTCTCTTATGGTGAACTCCTCGGACAGCCTTGAATCCGATGGTATTAAGATGCACGCCTGCCGGACAACGTGGTGGAATCCCTTCACACTCCTTGAGTCCTCCCTTCACAAATCTTCTCCTCTCCAGACTCCACACATTCTCACTCCATTTCAAGCTCTCTCTCAGTCTCCCCATCAAGAATGAGAGTAGTAATGGTGCAAGACACTTACAAGTGTCATGTCATGCTTAAATAAAAGAGCTAAAACGAGCCTCATTAATGCAAGTTGCGACTTATGCATTATGATTGTAGAATTTAAAGCCATCAGCCGGGATTTAGACGATATAGAGGAGTTTGTTCATATCATATCCTGAACGTAAATTATATTCGTTCCCTCGAAGATAGATAAGCTAAGGCTAGATAGAAATTAATCGTATTCTTCTCTAATTGATTTTTAGATCATTTCGCCTGTACTAAATAATCGCTATATCGCGATGACATGAAATAGTCAGCATATACGGTTCCATGGGAAGACTATTGTTGCACGAACTCCGATCAAGCCTGATTCTATATGATCAAGAATAATCTGGGTTATAAACGATTCAGTAAATTGCTCGATACAATTCTAATAACTAATTTCTACGAGAAATTTTAGTAAATAAAAATAGTACAACTGTTGAGCTCATTTACATGGACGATATTCTTTACTTCGTCTCTGGACGAAGCTCAACAACAAAAAGTATTTATGATTATTCTCCAATAAAATTAGACTTAAGGACACTTGCAGCAGTATTCTTCTCGTCTCTATGAACTATGATCCTGGCCGATATAAAATATTTAGCTAATTTCGTATGACAAATGGAACGAATCAGATGTTTAATTTCTGCATATATGCAAAAATGTTGACTGCCTCTTAAGATTGAAAGTGATGTGCTCCCTCAATTTTGTTAGGCTGATTTTCTACTTATAAATTTTCGACAAATATATTCTGATTTCTATTTACACAAAAGAGATAATAAATATAAACTGAAACTATAAAATATACTAATCGCTCCTTCGATGTTCCATATATAGAAATCTTTGGAAAATAAATATAATATTATCTGAGCCTGACAAATAAAAATCTCAATGAGCACATAAATAACTGTAGAATATACAAATAACAATAATCTTCTAGGCGATTCATAATTAGATAAGTGTAATCTAAAGCTATCAGCACATTATGCACATATCTAAATCTAATGGATAGAGTAAATGATTCGGTCTTGATATGATGATGTTATTTCTTTGTTCAACGACACTCAGTAAAATAAAAGTCAAGTTACTTTAAATGTATAATATTATGGAAATTAGTTTTTGTTCTATTATCTATATCTCTATATAACGATATAAGTTACAACCATTAATAATTTACGGCTGCTCAAAAGATTTATACTTTGTGCGCGGTTTAGCACTCAGAGTCTTAATATTTTGATTTGAGGTAAGGGTCTAGTATGGTGTAAAATATGTAATCTTATTTTTAAAGAAATAAACTCTATTTCAGATATTCGGTAATATTGAAAGCTTTGTATGTAATTCTGTAATAGTGAATTGAGAGAGAGATAAGTTATGTTTAGTGTGTGTTTTGAGTGCTTACTTTCTGATACCACCAATTTCCAAATGAATAATATAAAATATAATGAATAAAAACAAAATCCAAATCACTGTAAAAAACTTAACACTCTCACGATAGGCGTGGACGAATCATATATTTGATTTATGCATTAAAATAACTAATACAAAAAATCATTCTCAATAAAAGCTCTGCGATTGTAAATATAGAAGAACCGCTAAAATAAATTTGTATTAATCACATAGAGATTATGTTTCATAATTATAAGTCACGCATGATTCGCTCATTAGTATATATACTATATAAGTATAACATGTTCATGAATTTGATTCAGTGAATAGATAAATATTGTATCATTTTTTGATGATTTTGTCATTATAAAATTGTTGAGTTGAAATGTAGGAATAAATAGTCGTAATACATCAGATGATTAAAAGAGATAGGATTGTTGAATAATATTTTATGTTTAACCAGAACTTTTTGGGTTTATGCTCAACTTAATCTACAGGAGAGCTGCCCTCCGTAATGTCCAAACAATGCAAGTCAAGATAGTGAGAAGACTCAGCATTACACCATAAGTTGCGAAGGCCACATAAATGTGGTATTTTTACTAACCTCTATAAGCTTGCTGGTGATGGGGACCAAGACTAAATTGACATTGAACGAAGCATATAGTCACCGGGTGACTGCAGTCTGAAGAGACTATTAAATAGGTTAAATATCAGGAGATTAGAGAGATCATGTGTCAACTTGTATAGAGGGTCAGAATGGACGGCATAATCTATGCGAATCTGATCAGCAAGGAATTAGTTCATCAGTTTTATTGTCTTGTAATCATGCTAATGTACAGAAGTAAGAGTTCCATAGTGGAGCAAACAAATCACATACCCCAATTTTCATATTTGAGGTTTTAATTTGTGAATAGCCCCATCAAAACTCTTTGAATTTGAAAGCTTCTTTGGCACAATTTGCATTAGAAATAGGAGGCTACACTAACAGGGAGCCCCGCTTCAATGTCTTGATTGCTTCTCCTTTATGTAACTCTGATTCAGTGGTTGCCCCTTAATCTGAAAACTTTCATCTTGAACCTCTCTGTAGCAATTTTTTCCCCAAATAACCATATAGAGGCAACAACTATAATTAACTTTAATACTGAACCGGCTAGCAACACTTGAAGATCATAAAAAAAAAGATTAAAAAGAAAATCGGAAGAAGGTTTAATACAATATGAATTGTAGAGTTCAACATACAATATTTCCCAAAGCCCTCACATACAAAAAATAAAATAATGTTTCTAAACTGTTGTTTAATTATCTTTATTTATAAAATAATTACCTGCCTACATAAGCTTCTCATGCCAGAAATAGCCAGCTCAATACGGGCCAACAATAATTAAGTTAGGAGTGGGCTGAACATGGAACGATAGTTGGGGCCACGCTGTCTCTATGGCCCATGTCATCAGCAACACGCCAAATCCAGAGCATAATAATGCCCTGCTTCTAAAACAGTATCAAACATATATTTTCATCTTAGTTTTTTTTTCAATTTCTCAGACATCACATATTTCTTATGTAATTACTATTTTCATTGTCTCTTTAATTGGATTCTTAATACGAAAATATATACTATATATTTAAGCTAGAGAATGAGTCGTTTAAGAAAAGATTTTAAGAAAGAAAAACATTCATGCAAAAAATAAATAAAAAAACTACAGTTTCTTTTTTTATATCAAGAATAATAAATTTTAATGAAATGGAATTAGCCATAATTTTTATTTAAAATTTCAGTCCAAAATTAACACATTAAAAACATTTTAAAGTTTATGTGGATAAAAGAGTACTCACATGTATAGAAGCGGAAGCCTAAGCGAATTTGAAGCCCAAGCCCACTATGTAATTCTCTCAAATAAACCTCCAAAAGAAAAGCATTCGATACTAGCTAGCACTCATATTGTGGAGTCATAGATAAAAGAGTGTCGGAAATGATTTGTCAGCTTTTGCTTGCATATGACAAATCGCCACGCTATGCCCGCCTTCCCCTACTAACATTTGCAACAAATATTTCCTTGTTGGACGATCCACCTGTGGGCATCCAGAAGCTTTCGGTGCTTTTCTCCACAACATTCTCTGCATATCGCCAATGTAGCCTAGAAGGTTGGGGATATGGATGAGAGCTCCATTGTAGAGGTCATGAGATTGAATCCGCTAGACACAACAGATTGTTCAACCACCTTCTTGCATTGTCCTGGAGATTACAATTTTCTTTTGCTGTCTCAATCCTATATTAATTTGGAATGCAACTCAATATAATTCCATTTTGTATAAGTTTCATTTATTTATATAATTAAAATTTACACTAATCCTATTTTGGCTTTATACATATTGTGAAAATACGTTATTTAATAATATTAATTTAGTTTTTTTATTTATTTGGAGAGTGGTGTACCTGAAAGGAACGGCCATAATAATGGTTAGGAGGCATGAGAAGGAATAAAATGGAGAGGGCACTTGTCGATCGTTGGCGTCGTGTACTTGAGACCGATGAAGTATCATAATGATTTATCCGTGACCTGCATTTAATTTTGTTCATCAATCATATGATTTTTTATTTGTGAAATTGATACATAAAATTATTATAGTATTTCTTTCAAGAAAGTTTGTTATTGAAACTCATTTCCTAGCTCACATTTTTAATTAAGAGGTAAGAGGTGTTAGGCAACAACTCAACTGAATTAAACCACTGTAATTACACGATTTTCGTAAGTGCGTTTTCTACAAATAAAAATCCCTTAAACAAAAATCTGTTGAAGTATTAACCGAATAAGGCGCAAGAATTTTGACCCTCTCACATGCGTTAGGGTTTCATGACCCTCTTTATATATATTTTATTTTTATTATCATCCATTAAGTTTGAAATATTCGAATCTTCTCTGAACCAGGAAATAAGGTGCTTTCAATCATGCCGGAAGTGCTTTCTCCGGCGAATTGGATAGTTCACTTCCGTAACCCGAAGTGGAGCTAGACCAATATTTGAGTAGAGTATTTGCGAGTATAATCTTCATACACTCCGAGTTTCCTAGCAAGCAGATTATGGTAATTAACTGTTAATTAAAGAATTAATACCAGTATAGATCACATTATATGATTGAATGGGCAATTAACGATTAATTATGATAATTAATAAAAATAATTACATCTTGTATGATGGATAGAATCATTGAGAGCAAATAATTTTTGATAAATAGACAAATTGCTACATTGTCTTATGTGTTAGTGTTTCCAAGTGCTTCTATTGCCAGCGAAGACGGTCATTCTGACGGTCGGCATTGATATGAACGGAACGTGTCTGGTATTGCTGAGGCTAGACGAACTATGTCATTTGTCTTCCCCAATCAACGGATAGCATGCTTCAAGATTAACCGCAGAACAGTAATAAATAAAAGGATTTAAGCGAATCGAGAGAGGTATTAATTGTAGATGAAGCATCATCTAAAACTATGAGATATGAACACACATCTTATAAATTAGAATAGGTTCTAGATTCTATTAGAGTATTAAAATATTTGAGCTGCATTTAATAGAATATTGAACTTCTATTTAAAACTTATAAGTACTCCATATTATTGTGTTTGAATAATTGAATCATATACTTCTCATTTTGTTTATGATTAAGTTTAATTTTTTTTAAAAGGAATAATATAATATTAAAAATTTTGTCTGTAAAGATTAATATTTTATTGGTCAAATTTAACTAAATAACAGATACGGAAGGTTTTTATATGTTGTAAATAATCATAAAAATTGATAGTTTATATATGTATAGTGCGGCAGCCAATAAAGAAGGTTATTGTTTATATAGCTCAATATATATTATAGTATATATATATACTCATCATTATATATAGTTATATAGTTATATATAATAAAATTATTTTAGAATGTTGTGGTCAAATTTTATGATAAATTATTGTGAAATTTGATGAAAAAATAATTATGTTTTAATATGAACATCAATTATTGGTATTGAGTGACATTTGCGGATGCAATGATCACACATAGTGATGTAAGATGTGAAGAAGGAAATAAAAACTACGATTTACAGCTGATGTTGCCATTTTAATGAGCCTGGATTCCCAAAAGAAAAAAAATAAAACAAAAAGGTTGGCAAAGTAAAGAGGATTTTTGTTATATCGAAAGAATATTAGATACATAGCCAAAGCTTTTTCTTTATAATCAAATTTAGTATCTTAAAAAATAATATTCTTTAAATATTTTTTAGGAACGGGAGTATACCTACCTGCGTTGCTATTCTGCAAAGAAAGCGATTTGCGGCATAAATAACCCCTCGGTGGAACTTAGTGAGACTATCCACCGGCATCGGACCCACACTTGCTTTAGGGACGAGACTGTAGTAGAGGGTTTCGAATCCGTTATTATTATTCATTTCATACGTGCGATAAAAACAATTATAAAATATTATGCTTCGTTTGGGACGACTTTCTTTTTTATTTTTGAAGTAGCTTTCTAGGAGAAAAAAATAGTTTTCGTACTAAAAAATAGCTTTAAGAAGTAGTAAGAAAGCCGTCTAAAGTGAAGCCATATATATATACAAGCAAGGGAAATTAGACCAAATTCAAAATAGAAGGCCTGCGAAAAATAAGCAAGAAATTAATGGCAGTTGGAAGGAATAAAGGAGGTGATGAAGAACGAAAATGTGAAGAATAATTGGAGAAATTAAATTAATTCATCTAGTAATTAAAATAATATACTATTTAAAAATATGAACTATATACATACAAAATTATAAAATAATTTTTATATGCATTCTTTTACGTGATAATAAAATATGAGGTACCATTCGAGGAAAAAGGCGAAGGGAGCGAGGGCGAGAGTGGCGATGATCTGACGATAGGCGATCATTACGTATGGGCTCATTCCGGAGTCGAGAGCGAGTTTCGGGAGGATATTGAGACCGGCATAGCCCGCCTGCACGGCCACCATAGCAATAGCAGGCATATACTCCTTTGCTCGGGCCATCTCTATCTCCTCCTCCTCCTCTTCTTCTTCTTCTTCTTCTTCTTCTTCTTCTTCTTCTTCTTCTTCTTCTTCTTCTTCTTCTTCTTCTTCTTCTTAATAAAATTTGGATTATGTGGAAGGATGCTATTAAAATTAATATTCTAGGGGATTTTATTCAAGTTGTTCGTGTTAGTATTGATATGTTTAATTTCAATTGTAATGCTTCTTTTGTTTATGCCGCTTGTTCCAGAATAGACAGGTTGTCTCTTTGAAAGAGATAATTAAAGAGCGAGAGCAGCCTATATATAACTTAATGAGAGGCATAAGCTGGCTTGAAGACGTAAGCGAGTATGGCGTACGTAGTTGAGCCCTGATATATTTGGTATAGCAACAGAATTCAATTCTCTTTAGTTTCTTGTGTGTTTGCTTCTTTATGAGAGAGAGAGAGAGAGAGAGAGAGAGAGAGAGAGAGAGAGAGAGAGAGAGAGATTTGGTAGTGTCTAAGTTGATAGTTGGTTACTTGGGCATGTAAGTTTTGCTTTCATTAAATGGAAATGAAATGGTAATGGTATTATGTGTTAGGGTTTGCTTCGTTCGCCTTCACTATTTCGGATATATAATGTGCCTAAAAATTATTCTATTTATTTTGAAATTAGTATTATATTATATATTAATAATTTGTATTGTAATAACTTTAAAATAAAATCAGATAATTTTTAGGCTCATTTTGATATAATTTGCATTTGGATATCTTTGAGCAATTTTGCCATTATATGAAATAGAAAATAATAATATTATGATATTCCAATGTAAAATATATCTTGAGA